GGCGGATGAAGGACAAGCGGCAGCGCCTGGCCATGACCTGGCCGCACCCGGCGGACCCGGCGTTCTACACCTACATGATGAGCCACGCGGCCGCCACCGGCAACCTGCCCTACCCCTTCCCATCCCACCTGCCCCTGCCCTACTACTCCCACATGGGCATCGGGGCCACCTCGGCCTCGGCCGCCGCTCCCTTCAGCACCCCGCTGCGGCCGCTGGACACCTTCCGCGTCCTGTCCCACCCGTACCCGCGGCCGGAGCTGCTCTGCGCCTTCAGGCACCCCTCTCTGTACCCCGCCCCGAGCCATGGACTCGGCAGCGCCGGTGGCAGCCCCTGCTCGTGCCTGGCGTGCCACGGCAGCCCGTCCAACGGGTTGGCACAGAGACCCGCCGGGTCAGACTTTACCTGCTCGGCCACCACCAGGACGGACTCCTTCCTCACTTTCACCCCCTCGGTGCTGAGCAAAGCCACCTCGGTTTCCATGGACCAGCGGGAAGAAGTACCTTTAACGAGATAAAGCTTCGTCTCAGGGTTGTTCAATAGTTCGCCCCTTTCCCGGGTGCTCTTCGAGTTAATGTACGTACGGTTGATGTTAATTTAATCGTGGTCTATCCCCAGAAGTGGACACCTATGGAAAAAAGAAAAAAGAAAAAAAAAAGAAAAGAAAAAAAAAAAAGAACAAAAAAGACTAAAAATGACTCAGTCTTGAAAGGATTTACATTCCATGGGGGAAAAAGGAAAAAAAAAAAAAAAAAAAAAAAAAAAAGAACAGGGACGAGCAGTGATTTATCTCGGAGAAGGGTTTTAAGCACGGAGAAGAAACAAAATCTACCTGAATGAAACACATTTCATTCAACACAGAGATGAGCGGGGACTTTCTTGCCGATTGATGGACTTACTACCGGGGCCAGAACTTCTGCGGGTTACAGCAACCGACCTTATGCACAGAGCTATGGGACTGAGAGGGGAAATCTGAAATACTTGAAAGAAACATTATCTCGATAACGAAATGGCTGGTGCGCATGAAGAAAGCAAAGCTGCGATCTACCGGGGCGTTCAGAAAATAAAACCAACGATCAAACAGCAAAACCAAAAGGTTTCAGGATTGCAATTCAATAGTATTATCCAGTAATTTCTATAGAGAAAAACAATGCTTTGCCATAAAGAAAAAAACCTGACATTCTGTGCATTGCTATCGTGATTTAATTGCATTCTTTACTGTCCCTTGTCTCCTCCTTCACTTTGAGCAGAACTGCAGCATCGCGTCTCCTCTTTCATTCCAACTTTTAGTTTTAAGAGGTAGGCAGGAATTGGCAGGGAAAAAAGAAAAAAAAGAAAACACGAGCTGCTGCTTCTCTACGGGTCAGAGCTATTTGTCCTTTAAATAACAACGTCCTATTATCAGTCGCTGAAATGTGCACACACCGACGAAATTAGCAAGTGATGTATATGTAAGAAGGGTTTTTGAATATCGAATGTACAATGTTCCGTGAGCAGAGCCCCCGTGCCAAACGCTAACAAGCCGCCAAGGGAAGAGATTAGGTGACAGGGAGCAGCACTCCTTCAGACAATCACCAGTCTGTAAATTGGAGCAAAGGCGATTTCCTTTCCTTTGTACTGCCTTCAGTTCTCTCACTGACTTCTCCTGGATGCGGCTCTTTCCCATCCTCCCTTCCCTCCCCCCCCTTTTTTTTTTTTTTACATTTCAAGTGCTGTTTTTTATCTCCTTCCCCACCCTGCTCTTTGCATCTGTATGTGCCCTTCACACTGCTCTCTCTTCCTTCTGGAGGAGGATTTCTTCCGCATACCCTCCCCTTTCCCCTTCAGGTATTTCGGAAAGAGGTAGCACCATCGCTTTTGCTCGGGTTTCCGTCAGCCTACAGTTCTGAAAGCAAACACGCACATCGAGCTGGGCTGAAGTTCCTTCCAAAACAGAATTTGTTTATTTGACTCTATTTTTAAATAGCCCAAAGACCGCCATCATTTGTTACCGTGTCGGAACAAAACACAGTACCATCACAGTACCACCACCGCTAACTGCAAAGCTGACAGGCACATTTAAACGACACATCATCCACATTTTTATTGCGCTTGTTTAAAAAAAAAAAAAAAAAAAAAAAAAAAAAAAAGATAAGGAAAACAAAAAACAAAAAACCAACCAACAAAACGTTGCTTAAGACGAATTTCACCTCCGTGCAGTTGCGGTTCGCCAAGCAGAAGGACAAGAGCTGGCCGAACCGAGTTGGGCTGACACCTCCGCTGTCGGCTGTGCGCTCAGCTACTGAGGACCTCCGGTCCGTTGTCGCTCTGTCCTCAGCACAGGGAGCACAGAGCATCTCTTCGCTGCAGTGGATGGAAAGCAGGGGAGAGACACGAGCGTGCCAGGATATATTTTTCCAATCTAAAATTGTTTATTAGAGCCTTTTGTTATAAAACAGATCCAAAGTCATCATCTTTAAATCATTAAGGGCAGATTGTTCCTCCCTCTCTGAGCGAGATGTCCTCATGGACATGGAAACTGATGGCCCTTTTTGGACACTCACAAATAGACTCCCCTCCCCCCATCCTCTGGAAATAACAACTGTAAACAGCGTCCAAGGGCAGAGCTAGGGAAAATCTTGGCTTCCCTCCCCCACGACTTTGCCTTTTAGCACGCTCGAGAAAAAAAAAAAAAGTTCGGTAGGACAGGAGCTAAGGAGCGACCCAGAAGCCCTGGCAACGCCGGGGACAGGAGGCGTCGGGTGGGTCTGAGTGCCACACAGTAAAGCCGGGGGGATCCTGAGCGGCCGCAGTCCTCCCGCCGGCCGGGCAGAGGCACCTGCTGCCATCGCAAGGCACGGTCACCCCTTCTGGGATGCAGCGGGTTGCAATGCGCAGTGAGCTAGGGGGGCCATATGTATATATATACATACAAATATACATATTAAAATATATATACACGCGCGTCAAATACACGTATTTTATATAGATGGGGGTGCGTGATGTGCGTGTGAGGGGGAACGTAGCCATCCCGCACCACCTCTGTGGGTAAAGGGGACAGACCTCGTGCAGAGGCACGCACCGAGCACGGTCACTCCGCACCCGCGGCTCCCGCACCCCCCGGCCGTCGTGCCCGGAGGGGGCTGCGGCACAGGGGGTGGCAGTGAATTTCTCTGCGGCTCGGTCACAGGGCAGAGATTGCCTGCGACAGGTAAATAGGCTCCGGGTCGCAGTAATGCCGAGAGTATTTTCAGTTAATAGGGGAGGGAAAATGAGGTGTCTGGAGCGATATTGGAAAGTACAAGATCGATGATCCGTCCTCGTGTCCAACCAGCAGCCTTTAATTGACTGTATTTTCTAGGTAATTGAGCCGCTGTGCTCCTAAATTGAAGTGGAAGATATAACAATACATCTCGCCGGGAGGAATTACTCATTACTTCATAATGAAATTTTCCTTTTGCTGCATGGGGCCGGGGCCATTAACGCCTTCGCCGCCGGAGGGGGTGCCCACGGCCCTACGCGGGGCATTGCTCTCGGCCACACGCGGGGCACCCACAGGGAGGGCAGCGGTTCTGCCTCAGCCCTTCCCCCCCGCCCCCGATTCCCCCACCGCCTCGGGCTCCTCCGGTAGCCGAGGTTGAGACCCCCGATCGCTGAGGTGCTGGGCCGGACCGGGCCCTGCGGGAGGTGCCCACCCCCGTGTCACCGGCGGGCTCTGGGCTGCCTTCGGTTGCCCCGTGGCCGCTCCCCAGCCAGCCCAATTCGGCTCCGAAAGGCCTTCCCCGCCTTGTTAGCGTTTGATTGATTGCCTTATTAAAGCGTGTTCTTGTAAGTGTGACCGAGCTGATTGCACTGCATATGTTTGGGATAATGCTCATTTTAAACAACTGAATAATAATAATACCAATGAAAAAAAGGACCGCGAGAGGAAGAAGATGAGCTCTGGAGAATGGGTTAAGCCTAAACGATCCCGAGGAGCAGTGCTGTAACTCGCGCATTAAATTGCTCCGTTACCATCAAATCACTCAGCCCCCTTCGGCTCCGCTCAACCCATCTCTGTTGTGTTTTATGTCACCTTCTGTGCCATTAAGTGAGATAGCGCCGAGACTGCCGCTTACGTCCCCGTCTCAGACCATACGTTTTTATTAAGGCTGTATGATTAAACGGGACCGGATCTGCTTTCCCAGCACTATTCTTTCCTCCAGCGCCCAAATCATTAGAAAATCGGCTCTCCATCTTTCCCATTTTCTGCTCGGTTGTTAGGTCGTTTGCCAGCACCTGCAGCAAAGAGTGCGGCACCCTTAGCTTTTGACTCGTGTATCCGAAGGATCCTTTTGTTTCCTATTCTTCTCTCGCTCGCACGGCCGCTTAATTTTACTGCCCCTGCGAACACCCTCCGCCATATGTCACCCCGAGGCCGGGTCCTGCAGCTCACAATGCTGTCACCCGGGGTACCGCACCGCCGGGGTGAGTCGGAGCGTCCTACCGCAAATGGCCCCGTTCGGGCGCATCAGGTTCCTGCGTGGGACGTGACTCCCACGTCCTTTCGCTTCATCCCTTTACTCCTGACTCCCCGTTTGTTCCCCACTCCCCTCTCGCTGTTCATTTTCGCGTCCCCTCCGCGCCCGCGGAGGCGCTGAGCGCTGTCCCGTGGATGGGCAGATCCCGCGTGGAGCAGCTCCCCGCCTTCCCCAAGTTTTTTCTTTTTCTAATTCTCTCATTCCCTTCTTTCAAACACGAAAGCAAAGAGACCACCGCAATTTTCCGCTCATGTTTTTTTTCCCCTTTTCTTCATTTTTCTTTTTTTTTTCTCCAGTCAAACTGATTGTGCCCCCGCCCAACCCGGGTTGACACCAATATTTACACAACCCGCGTTAAAGAATCACCAACCATCGGTGCATCACACAAACGTACACAAACACAAAGCAAATAGGCAAAGTGCTTTTCCTTCTGCCCTTCTTGCGAAGGAGTGCCTGGGATTTGAGAGACAGAAATTGCCACTTAAGAACATCACATGAAAGTATTAAGTAATTATTTAAAACAAGGCTGTTTAGAAAAATATTTGTATTTATTGCAGCTGCTCGATTGGCCTCGTTAAAGCCGGAGAGCATTTAAATTGTGTTACAGTCTCATTTAAATCCAGTTTCGTTCCAGCAGGCTGCAGAGCCTGAATAGAACCAATCACTCCATAATGATGATGAATGAGAAATTAATTCAGATACAAGCAAGACAATTTAGGCCTTCATCTGTTTAAATAGCCTTCCAAGATTATTCGCAATTGCAGGTCACAGTTTTAATCAATTGTCCAATCTTGTGAAAGTCATATCCTTGCATCTTCATCGGGATTATTTATAGTGCGGCGGAGCCCGGTGAAAGGTACACGCTCTTAACAGGAACAATTACTTAGAGGGAAGCGTTTGCAAAATGAAAAACAAATGCCTCCGTGGGCAGTAAATGATGAGCCTCCTCCTCGCTCCCGGCGCATCCTCGGAGGGAGGAAGGGAGCTGCAGGGGGGGGTGGAAAGGGGACAACCGCCCAACTCCATCCCTGCCGTCAGCTCCGCATCGAGTATTCTGTCATTTTTTCATTCTGCCCTTTTGAAGACTTACAGATACAGACGAGCCTGAAACTCTAAAACCGTTCGGAATGAAGACCCAGGCTGTTGCCCAAAGCCGGGAGCTCAGATGGACACCCGCTGCCAATGCACAGGGAAGGCAGCACCGGGCGGTGTCCGGGCTGTGAGAAGGACCGCTCCGGCCCCGCGCCTCTCTTTCCAGGAAGGGTGCGTGCGGAGCCGGCCCCGGGGTGAGGTTTTCCCGCATCTTGCCCCAAAGGGAGCGGGGCCGGGGGGCGGCATCCACCCCCGGGGAAGTCATAGGGATTTGGGGCGGGTGGATGCAAGCGTGGCCGTGTACCTACACCGGAATCCGGGGCATCGCTGTTCTCTACAACAAAAGCCTGCCCACAGGACCCCCGGAGCTCAGAGAAGCCGATCTCAGCGGCGGACTTTGATGTATTGCTGTCCAATTAGTGCCTTTAATTGGCGTCCTCTGGGACAGGCAACCCGGGAGCGTGGACGGCGAGCGCTCGCTCAGCAAGCTCTGCCCGCTCACGAGGCAACGAGGGCATCTCTCGGCTGGGGGCACGGATCCCGCACCCCTCCGAGCGGATCAGCCGCTGCAAGCCGTCCCGCGGGGCCGTATGCTAAAGGGCACGCCGTGCCCGAGCAGTGCAGGGGTATGGAGGTGGCTGCATCCCGCCTCAGATCCCCCTTCTGCTCCAGAGGAAAGGGTGTTCATCGGCGCTGTTTAAAACAGAGAACACGTTCCTTCCAATTTGGCTAATGAAGGTCGTCTGTTAAGAGTAATTTTAGAGGTTAAATGAGGCTGAGTGCAGATTTAAAGATGCTTGATAAAACGTCTTACTTAAACGCCACATACTGTATATGTAGATCCCATTACGACGCTCTGGATTTACCTTGGGGGAGGAGAAAAGAAAACAAATAACACAGCCGGACAGGGAAAAAGGACCGCCGACAATTTATTCCTAACCAAAAACGCTCAGTCAAAAAATAAATTGATCGCTTCATCCATCAAACATACAAAATACATTTCTGAGATCAGAAGTCGCTCTGAAAGAGAAACGAAGAGTCAGGGGGGAGGAGGTTCGTTCTTGACAAGCATCCTCAGAAGGTCTATGCTAGGAAAAATAGAAGGAATAAAAGACAGCTGTCACTGCAAGCTCACCTTGATGCAACTGTTTTTCTTTTTCCCCTTCCCCTTTCTTCTCCTCCCCCCCTAAGTACCCGTAAAGTGTTTTAAGGAAAAAGAAATCTTATGAAAGCGGAAGAAGATTAGACTTCTGATGAATAAGGAAATAAATTTGGGAGAATGGAAAGTGGTGCTGACTTCCCAGGTGTCTCCAGGGAGTGTGGCCAGCCCGAGGCTGCCCCTGGTGCCATCCATTCCCAGTGCCTGGGTATGCCTCGAAGCACAGCCATCAGGTTTCTGCAGGGAAAAATTTCTGATCAATATTTGTAAGGTGAACTGTTTCATTTCCTGTTCTGCATTTTGCTTTCCTACCTTGAAGTACTGCCCTTTTGCCATGCGCATCTCAAGCAGCAATACAATATTACAGCACAGATATCCTTTACAGTTGGCCCCCAGAAGCAGACCCAGAGATGTCATCCATTTCCACCAGAAGTCCCAGCCTGAAAACGCCACTTGATTTCACCCTGCTACAGCTATACTTTCCACCTTGCTTGTCTCTGACCAGATTCTGAAAGTCCTAACTAACCCCAAAACACATTTTTCCTTCCTTAGGAGAGTTTGCTTACTGCTGTTGCGCTGCAGGATTCGAGATGAATTGCAGAGCAAATAAAGTAACTATTACGAGGTCCACACAATTAATACGTGGCCTTGTACTCACATAGACTGTGAATCACTCCTGGGAATGAATTACAATTATTCTAACATTTACTCAAGCCTGTGTATTTTAGGAAGGGAAGCTTTCTCTAATGCGGAGACATTGAGTCATAGGTTCCAAAACCACTTTCCACAAATGACCTGAAATAAAATTTAATCCAAAACCAGAAGGTCTGGTTTACTAAACCTTCAGCTAGAAAGGAGCACAGATTGTCTCCTTTGACAGCTACAAATTAAGTAGAAAAATCATACAGAAAAGAGAAGGAAAAAAAAGAAAGGGAAAAACCTAGATTTGTCAGTGTTTATACTTCCCTTGCAGCCAGCTGTAATGTGGCTGGGACTTATTCCAAAGGCAGGAGAGTGCTCAGCCAGATGATGGGGGTTGGTTTGGCTCCAAATGATGTTCCTAACACATCCCTTGTTTGGTGGCAGTGCGGATTTGGATGAGAGGAAAAGCCAATGTGTCTCTGCTGTTCTCAGCCCTGAGCAGTACATTGCTACCCACTGATGCTTGCTTACAAGATACAAAAACACAGAGTGCACAATCCCATTCCCTTCTCCCTCTGTTTTGGCACTCAACTTCCCACTTGCAAGCCTGCATGCCATCTGTATCACAAAGGTTGTTGCGTTACAACAATCATATTGCCATACTGAGCAACCAAGTCTGATAACAAGGCACGCACTCCTGCAGCCATTAAGCACATTTCAACAAATCTAACTTCTATCCTCCAGGTTAAAAATGCAATAGCATCATTAGTTATAGTTCCCCACTCGATATCAACAGCGCAGTTCACACCTATGTCTTTGACACAGCTACTGATTTTTGTACTATAATGGCTTCCAGTTGGCATCTCATATCTCAAATAATGTGCCCAAGTATTTCTAGGCTGGTAGCGCAGGATGGGCAGGAAAAAGAGCAACACAACTTTCATTTTCTAAAGTTGCTCCACATTCACCTATGGGAATCTGGTGTGGGCTCTTCGAGGTCTGTGTGTGGGAATGAGAGACGTTGATACTGTACTGATTACTATTGTTGAACTGCCTAGTGTTGTAGGGAATATCTAGTGATATTCTCCTGCCAAACCCAAATCCCAGCTGAGATTTGAAGCAAATGATGATCAGCAGCAGCATGCAACTTCAGCACATTAAGCAACTCATAAGATGCCCGTACCTAATACAAAGTTTGTGCTCAGATATTTTACCAGACAAAATGTATTCCTACGTCTGATTTTATACTTCTCAATATCTAAGTAGTTGGCTAGAGTAACACTTCTGCACCATGGTGCATGGCTTTGTATCACCGCTGTATAACTCCAGCAAGGGCAAAAATACCAACTCTAATATCTCTAATCACTTTTTATTCAGGAACATGATTCTCACAACAGCCTCTTCTTGGCAAGAAGTTGTAAAGCTGAGCATCTGTGTGCACACCATCTCACTTCAGCAAGGGGTGCTACTTGAGTCATGTCTACTGCAATCTTCCATACCAAAAGAAAGCAGAGTTGCTGTTGTCTTCTCATACTGATGCTTTTTAAGTATGCCTCTGATTCATCGTTTCCCACACTCACTACAATTTCATTTTATGAACTGCCAGTTCAAATCTAGAAAAACCTACAGCTTGGTCCGTACGTCACAAACTGTTAGATTTTTCCCTAGTTTATTATGATGCATTTGACAGTAAAAGAGTTTTGAAACAGGTGTCTGATGTGATCTGGCATATCAACATGTGGGGAATCTTGGTAGTATACACCAACTACAAATCACTCTCACTGGCAAAAGTGAACAGAAGATTTCAGGAAAAAGAAACCCCACCTTGCTTTTTTCCTCGATAAAGAAACCATTTGGCAGTTTATCCTTCTGTTCTGCTTGCTAAATATCTAAACTTTTATTTCCCTGTGCTTTCCACAGAAGAATTTTGCATGCTGTAATAAACCACCATGCTTCCTTTGCTCTGACAACCTGAGCGAACCAGATTCGTGTGGCCTGTTAGTGAGAGGCACTTTGTTCAGTCATTGATCTGAGTGAGGCTTTCCTCTACGCCATCCCCAATTTTACAGTCTCTTTTTAAAGCATGTATGAGAGTACTTAGCATTTGTTCCAGCAGTAGTCTGTCATTCATGTTTCGTCTTTTATTTCTATTTAACATTTCCTGTACAGGCAGCCAAGAACCACGCTTGTCTGAAAGCAGTTCTGCAGCACTGCAATGGGACCTTGTGTTCTCACATTTCTCCAGTATGATCTTGCTTTTCTCCATCTCTGTTTTCTAGGATGTTTCACCCAGTCTGTAAGGTCTATGAGGTGCTACATACACAAACCCTTGATGCACATTTGGTCAACAGTGGGCATGAACTTACTTTTTGTTTGCAGCAGTCCCATGTCACAATGCTTTCAACACAGGCAACTCCTCTTGGTGATCTTGAACTCAATTCTTTGTTTGACAAACCTACTTATCACACAACATTCAAATCTTATTGTACATTGTCACTATATTATGCAGTGTCCCTGATAAATTCCTTACAAAGCATACACTGAGACATCTATAAACTCAACCTGTAATCTCATCAAAATAAGTCAAATGTACAATGTTAAAACCTATTTTTTTCTTAAAGATTGTTGACTCACATCACTTTTACATCTTTCCTTTGTTCTTTATTAAAATTAATACCATGTCAGCTTTGTTTTGATTTTCTTTTATGTTGGCCTCATGCTAATCAACCCAGGTACCAGGTCACCTCTTTCTATCCTTCTGAATAGTAGTAAAACATCAAAATAGAAGCAAAAACTCCCTTTTGGAATTCCACCAGTATTCTAAGATTTCTTGCAAACAAACATCAGATCTCTCCCCAGTCACTTCTTTAAAAACTGCAAATTTGCTGATTATTTCTTGATCCCATTAGGCACCCTCTTCAGTTAATAATCTTATTAAAAGTGCTTCATCTTTTTTTCCCCAAACCCCTCTAAACGTCACTCTGCTTACCAAATACAAATTAAAACATCCAGCTAGTATCAGTTGAAAGGATTTTTTTTTCTTTAAATATAAATTCAACCTTTCTCTTACTGTTTTTATGCATATCATCTTTAAAATTTTCTTCTTCTCTTTATCTTCCCTTTTCAACTTTCTATGTTTTAGGATTTTTAATCTATGCTAATTGCTACTTACTGCAGGTCTCTCTGCATGTTGCACAGTGATCTTTTTCCTTAAATTATTTGCTACCACTTTATTCACTCCTAGTAGTGTTCTGTATTCAAAAAGCTGACCCATATACAGATATTGCTCAGAATTGCTCACATTCAATGTAAATTTTTAGGCTGGAGACTGGAAATTATCTATCATAACAAGGTTCAAAGAATAATTTTTATTTTTTCTTTTTTCCATGCTAGACAGCACACCTTTCAAGTTGAAGAATTGTCTATGATTTTCAGAAGCTATCAGCGATGGTTTACTGCTATCTGCATAAGATAACAGAACAGTGCATGTGCTGCACTGAGTTTGCCCAGATGTTACTATTTTTATTCCTAGATATTGCAGACAAGTGTTTAAGAGGTAGTTCATCCCATTATTGCATTTGATTTGGCACTTTGTGACACACTCCTGTCAGCATTCTTGGTACTTTTTAGTCAGTACATCAATTCATGTGTATTTGAGCCCTTCTAGCCAAGATTATAATTACTAAATTGTCTTCCCTCCTTCCATTCACTGTTTATAATCTGAGCGTGAAGCTCTGTTCACATGCACATCACACACTAATAATGCTTTTCCCCAAGTGAGAATTTCCTGCATTACTCACACGCCCTTCTGCTTTGGTAGAGGAATCTGAAGCGTCCATTTTCTTCACATTCTTTGTTACATTGGTTCAAGGTTTGTCATTTATTAAACCATATTTGCAGTTGGAAACATGTTTGTATCTTCAGTTGCCTTCCCCGGGGTCACTGTACTAATTCATTCCTGCTGTCCTAGCTAATGTCAGGCCACTCACTTACTCATGGATGGGACACACTATTCACACAGCTTCTCTCCTGCTGGCATGCCACACCACCACCAAAGCAAATGTTCAGCTTCAGAGCAGAAGCAAAGTCCCGAGTTGACTCCATATATTCTGCTATTTGTAACGTGTAAGCGTGGAAAGATCTCCAGAAGTTTTGTATGGGTATTCGTTTGGCCTTTCCTCTTGTTTCCCTCTCATAGCCCCAAAGCCTTTCTTTAACCCCTGCCACTAGCTGCAGTCAGTATCAGAGCAAACACTTCCAGGAAGCTTTCACAAACATTTTTGCTTATATCATTCATTAACTCCTGTTTTTTAACACATCTATTTTGGTGACTTCCTTGTCGTGCTGGCTGTTTGCAACCCAGCAGATACCAAGTTGTGATTTTAAAAATCTCTGCATGCTCTGGAAATCCTATGGCATTAGGCATCTGGTTTAGCTACAGCCCCATGTGACCTGTTGATCTCAGCCTATTTCAGTACAAGCCATTTTCTGGCAGCTTTTCCATTTCCCAAGGCTTTTAGCAATGTCATCACAGAGACCTTCAGTACAACATTTAGCAATAACTAATTAGAAGAATTGGTACATGAGTACAATGAAACAAATCTTAGATTTTTGAATACAAATAGTTTCCTTTTTTTTAAACACTTCTCCAGCTACTTCCTCAATTTGTCTGTATCTTTTACACAGGAAAATTATATTTTATTATTCAACGTGTGCTAAATAATATTTAAAAATACCTCTGTACTTGCTACCTCTATTTAAATTACTCCTATGAGCTACTGCATTGCCTTGGGAATTTGTATAAGCAATGAATATGCAGATAATTATGAAATATACAACAGAGTTTAGTTAAGCAAGTTATTACACCAAAAAAGAATAAACAGAGCGCTTACCTTTGTCCCAAGCTTGCTGTAAAACTCCAAAGAAGGAAACTCCAGAAGGACATCCTTCTCCCTGGTAGCCAGCTCTTAAATGGGTCTAGGAGAGGTGCAGCCAGGCTTTACCCCTTTCAGCAGCACAGGTGAATTGCCTTCACCTGTGCCCCCATGGCTGACTCAGTGCTCGCCTCAGGTGATCAATCAGAGGTTCAGGCTGTGATTCAGCAGTTCCCATACAGAATTCATGGTTGTGATTTTCTCCTAATCCTTTGCAGGTTTAAACCTTTTCAAACACAGGCTGCCCCACATCCACATTCTGTCATAAAATCAAACTTGGAATTAGGTGTGTGGCCCTTTACCATGTGATCCTGGTAATTTTGTCAAAGCAAGGTGTTCTTACAATTTATTTATATTCAAAGATACGTACATTCTTTTCCATCATCCCCCACCTCAAAATATTGATAGAAGTAAACAGCAGTGGTAATCTTTAGGAAAGCTGCTGGAGGTTCTGTGATAGCTTTCTCTTTAGGTTAGGACTGTCTCCCATGCTGATCTATTAGTTCTCTGGTTTTCTGCCCACTTAATATGTGTTACATTCAAATAATATTGCTTTTTACATCATAATCTGGATAAAATCAAAAGGCATTCTGAGTCTGCTAAAGAAATGCAGAAATCTTTGCCAACCAAGTATATTATCATTAAAAGAAAAGAAAAAGGCAGATCCTTTTAATAGGACTTATTCATCCTTAATTAAGCAGACAAAAAAATGCTTTTGGTGTCAATAAGTTGTTTTGTCATCTCCTCATTCTTTGCTGGTTGCATCTTACATTAGTTGTGTGGCTCTGCCTGGAAGCAACTACTCATTTTAACTTTGGTATGCTGTTTTTTTTTTCTTTTTTCCCCAAGCTCTTTGAAATTGCCTCAGTATTACAAGGATTTCTAAACGCCTTTAATACACCCTGTATTCTTCAATGTTGCATGGTAATTCTTTCAAAGGAAGTCTAGAATTCAATCTCATAGATAGGTTATCTATTTGATTTGATCATCTGCGTTTGCACACTGCCCTTCAATCAAGCACACTTGGGACTTTTCATTCCATGATTCCAACACTTCTATCTGTTAGCAGGCAGGCCAGAGTGGCTTTGCCAAATGGGCTCGTTTTGATCTTGTTATTTGAAATATGCAGAGCTTTGAATTTTAACCTCGGGCACAGTGCTTGCTGTGCTTTTGTTGTATTCAGCTCCAATATCTACTTGTAATTCACTTTTTACCCATTTCTTTCCAATGCCTGAAACCAATCTGCCATAGAAGCTACCAGTGTAGATCTAATTAAGAAGCTCAGTGAAACTTCTGTTTCATTAGCAGGACTTCATCTTGCAGCTGCATTTTCACACGTGCAATTTCCTATTGATAAGCAGTGCCAGCACCTTTGTGCTGTGTCAGTTCTCTCCAGCGTTACTGCGAGCACTGGTTGCTACAACATCCTTCCCCTTGCAGCCTCACATTCAGTTTGGGCATGTGTTTTCAATTGCATGTTTTATTCTTCCAGAACTTATTAGATACTTGGATTAGGAAAACAGCTTTCTGCTGTGTTTTAAATACCTCTGCAACTTTGAATTCGTCTCTCACATTAGAATTGCAGTGGCCTACTTATCCTTTATTTTGTCACAGATAGCTTTGTTTAGTCTGTTAGTCTGTTAACATCCATGTGATTTGGCTTCCCCACACAGACTGATGACTTAATGGGTCAAGCATTTCAACAACGAGGTACTTTTTGCTGAACAGAATTTCTGTCTTTAAAAGAGATGTCTTCTGCATGGATCTTCTTCCTGCTGCTTTGTGCAAGGAGTCACATTCCCCTCGGATTATCTTCACTTAAAAAATCCCAATCTAAGAAAGCCTTTCAGTCTTTCTAATCTTTCATTGCTTTTGCCTTCAGTTGCAAAACGGGTGAGGACGCACTACTGCTTCTTTCATGCTTACTGTTGTAATATTTCCACTGTTATAATTTTTATAATCCCTTCTGCTCCTCACACCAGGCTTTGATGTGAGCCAACAGATGTAGCTCAGGCTTAGCTCTAACAGACTGAGGTACAGCTCCCCAAGCAAATCTCTGTTTAGCAATTGCCTAACCCCAGAAATATTTTATTCAACTGATATCAGGCTCCAATCACTACAGCTAAGGAGACCTAGGGAGAAAGGAGTAGGATCTAGGTATCCCAAATAGCTTTGGAGACCAGACTCTACACAACTGACTGTTTTATTATGTGCTTTCCTAAGGAAAATCCTCATGTTCCAGTTGATGTATGGTGTTGGATCCTGTTGAACCCTAAAATGGAAGAAGCAACTGCAGACCTGCATGAGGATGCAGGCTTTGCTGCAGGAAGGGATGTGTGTTTGCTCCTCTGTGCTCTTGGAGAAAGTCTTAGTGCCTAATAGTATCTCCTGGAGCCTGAAGTACTTCTGAAGCTCCCTACTATATTGTTATATGGTGGTATTAGTATGCAGAGAGCATTTGTGTAAAGCATATAATACTAGATTGTATTTTTGGTGAATGAAAAACTCAGCATAAATTAGCAGTGTGACAAAAGAACACTGCAGAGCTGCTGGAGAGGATCCAGAGGAGGACCATGATGAACAAAGGGCTGGAGAACCTCTCCTATGAAGATAATCTGAGAGATCTGGTCTTGTTCACCTTGGAGAAGAGAAGGCTCTGGGGACACCACATTGTGACATTCCAGTACTCGATGGGAGCTTACAAGCAGTTAAGGAACTAACTTTTTACACAGTCAGATAGTGACAGCACAAGGGGGAATGTCTTCAAACTAAGAGAAGACTTCGGTTAGATGTTAGGTGGAAATTCTTTACTCAGAGAATAGCACAGGCTGCCCAGAGAAGCTGCGGGTGCTCCATCCTTGGAGACACTCAAAGCCAGGTTGGATGGGGTCCCGGGCAGCCTGAGCTGGTGGGTGACAACCATGACCACGTCTGTGACGCTGGAATTACATGGGTTTTAAGGTCCCTTCTAAACTGAATCATGCTATGACTATGATTAAATTTACCTGTTCTGTCTGATCCTTCTTGAGGCTGGATATTTAAAATAGCAGTGAGGAAGTACATGCATTGCAACAACTCTCAGTTTGTTCCCAGTCGATTCATATTTCAGAATTTAGTACTCTTTTCATCATTCAGTCTGTTATGTACAATGTTCATTTATGTCTCTTGAAGAGATATTGAGTTTGTAGTTCAAACTGTTGGATCTAGAACAGTCTTCTTCTGATTTCTGAAAATAATTACAGTTTAAATGATTTGCTTTTAACAGCCTCCATGCAAACCTCAGCAGTGCACATAATAAGTTCTGAAATATTATTGATAAAAATAGTAGTTTCTGGATCATCCTTGGATCTTGCTCTGAAATGGCAGAAGAAAACCATTTTAGAAGAAGTTGGATAAAGCAGAACTTGCAAGTGTAATATCTCCCTCTGCAGACACATGCCTTCTGTAAGGGTAATTAATGATTCTTGTTAATAGCAAGATGTAATTTATAAAGAAGCTAGCTTAAGACAATCATGAGAAAATGAGATAAATAATCAGCTGAAACAATAAAGATCAGTTGTGACATGATTGCAGTATTCAAGCACTTAGGAGATCTAATGCCTTTCTATTCATTAACTGGAGTTGATATAACATTACAGATGTTACTTATTCAAAGATGGTGTGCATCTGAGTCTATGCAGCATGTTTGCGAGAGCAGCTGCCAAGTTAAGAATATGTAGCTTCCTGGTTCTCTATGTAGAGAACAAGGATAACAGCAGGATCCGTAAGAACTTAAAATTTCAGAAAAGCGATTTTTAAGCTAATATATAGCTTTGGTGGATACAATATTCAGCTTTCATGTTTCAAGTGTTGAGGAAGAAGACTTTCAGATCCCAAAATCTTTCCAGAAGACAGGTTAAACTGTAGAGGATTAGTGTAACTAGGTTCCCCTTGCTGCACACTCCCATTTGGGTAACTCAGTAAGATACTGTATGGAAATGATGCAGTCCAGTTGGAAGATGCTTGAGCAACCTAATACCTACCTGCATTATTGGAGAGAGAGGTGTTCTGTTACATAACTTGATGTCTCACCATTTCTATACATGCCAATAAAAGCTCAGACATAATTTTGTCTAAATTGTGAGCAGCTCACCAACCTCAGAATTTACAAATAGATGTCAGGTGTAGCATCTCCTTGACAGATCTACCCTATCTCCTTTAATGGGGCTGGTGGAAACTGTAGTTCTCCTTGCAGCTTCTCTTTACAACTGTCTGCATTTTACTTAATGATCATGTATCTCTGCAAATTTTATACAGAACTTCATCTGGGCTTCATCACTATATGCAGGCTGCTGAGCTGAAGCCTACTCTGCCCCCTTCCAGTTAGTGCAAGAGGACTTTGCCAGTTGTGTGCCACAAGACTAGCTGAGAAAGGCAAAAGGGACACCAAATGGGTAAAAAAAACCATTCCACATTATTTGCTCCCACTTCTGAGAACTTTGTTCCAGATCATATGTTAAACCTAAGGAAAATGTTCTCTTTGTGGAAGTCAGGTTGCTGGTCCATGGGTCAAATTTTCTCACAGGCAACTGTAATGCCTATTATACCTATTTCCCAAGGAATAAAGTTCTGCTATATCTTGCTTTCCTCAACTTACTTTTTCTCATGAGCTTCTTGCTGAAGTATATGGTTAAAGATGTGAATCAGAAAATCTGCTAGTGCAAGATGTTCTCCACCCATGTTTTATTATATGCAAGTATGATAACTCTCCCTATTATTATGGTTGCCTGATGTTTCCCATGATATAATCCTTTGAGTAACTTTCAACTTTTCCAAACACCATAGAAAATTTCTATGTTGGGTGTACAGTCTGTGGTGAACATACACATACACGCACGCATATATTTAAGCGGAAAATAAACTATCACTTCTAAGAAGGAGTATGGAGAAAAACCATGGTGTTCTTCCCATGCTAAAAATTTCTGTTGACCTTTTATTTGGAAAAACATAGGTCATCTTTCCCCTATCTTGAAATCTGGCAGCTTTTATTCATGTGTGGCCTTTACTCAAGGACATGCCTTTTATCATCCCTTTGAGACGCTCCCCAAACCTGCCATCATATAAGCCCTTGAAAAATTATGGCTCTCAAGAGCTTGGTAGGAGTATTTTAAGATTGACTGGACAACCAAGTCA